TTGGTAAATTTACACGATGAATATGTATTTTTCTTGTTTACACATTTTCGTTTGTAAAATTTGTTGGCGGCTTTACACAATTCTACGGGTGAAATCAAACAGCAGATGTATAATTTGTTGCTTGTACACTCTTTCGTAGTAAATTTACACACACCACAGCAGCTATGTTACTCTCTAAAAAGTCCGAAATTTAAACAAACTATTCGTTGAACAATCGACGATGTAATTTCGCGAATAATAAGGTAGGAAATCAGTAACCTACCTTTTAGGTAGGAAATCTACACAATTTTTTTTAGAGTGTAACCAAGTGTGAATAGTTACTGAAAAACAACAAAGCTGCTGGAGCTGACGGCCTGCCAGCTGAGCAAGTACGGCATTTGATTAGATGCAAGCGTTAACTCATCAGAATATGGGATCACAGGTACTTGCATTACAGGCTTTCTTGTTTACTTCCGCTCTAGCTCACTTCTGTTAAATTGTTAATAATAATTGATATGTAATGGAACTCTTTCTGGCATCACTTAGTCATCAGCATTCCTGGCTCGAACCTCTGTCGATTGGAATTTTCGCATTTGAATTTTATATTCTCGACTGAAATTTATAAACTCACTCACATTTTATTTTATTTTATTTTATTTCTCGTAGTACATATCTGTGTTCGTATGGAAAAATAGCTTATGTCGAAAGGTTGGCTTTAGTATAATGCGGCAATCCCTTTATTTTTTAAACGGCAAGGAATTTTTTGATGAGACTTAATAAGAATATTGACTTGCTAGTATCGGAACTATTTCTTCCACGTTTATTTGCTAAAAGTTGTTCAACGGCTTACCGCCAGTGAGTCATTCGCAATCGTATGCTGCGAATGCCGATTTATACTAAAGCCAGCCTTTCGACATAAGCTACTTTTCCATATGAACACAGATATATCTTTTTATTTGTTCTATAATGTCCATAATATCTTTCTAAATGTCTCCGCTTTCTTTAGATCTGTTCGTTAATTACGCTATTTCGAAAATATATTGTATATTTTTGTGGATTCCCTAAAGTGTTTGCGCTTTTAGCGTACTCATTCATTGTGAATTTTATTGACTTGCTCTTTCATTCTTATTATACCCCATATTAATAGTTTTTTTTTTTCAAAATTAATCTCTGCATAAATTCTTCATTTTTATTAACAGCCAAAATTTGTTGAATACGATGAGCTCGCTGTTGAACCAGGCACTCCCCGATATTCACAAATGGTCCGAGAAAGTAGGCGTCAATGCAGGCACGTAGGTCAGAGGCAGTGTTGCCAGGTTGCCCATTTTGTTGTCATTTTGAAGATTTTTTACTGCCATGAAGATTTGACGATTTTGTGACCCACTGTCGTTTTTTCTTTTTGTGCAAATTTGGCTGGTTCCCAGCATTGAATATACTTACACAGACAACTAAAAATTGCAGTGTAAACACTTGTTGAAAGTTTACCATTTCTGCTAAAACATAACTTTCGTGTCGAAATTATATCATGTGGCAGCACTAATTGTAGTTATCGATAAGTAGTTTTCTTCTTTGTTTCATCACTATTTGTGCAGGTTTTGGCGGTCAAATTCGTAATTTTTGCGTTGTGGCGTTACATATTTCATTGAGCGAAGGGAATTATGAATAAGTTCTTTAGCAAAACTTGTAAGTATGAACAGTCTTTAATGCACAAGTTAAGATGCAGTTTGGAAAAAAAATCAAGATGAAAATGTTATTTTACAGCTATTAAACATATTTGAGTTAAAAGTATTGCAAATTCTAAAAATTTGTAAAAAGTGAAACTTTTTATTTTTTACGTACAGCAATCAGAAGCTAGAATAAAATGACAAAGAAACAAAAACAAAAAAACTGACGACTTTTCACCTCAATGGCTTGGCAACACTGGTCAGAGGGTTCAATTGTCTCGGCCCCAGCTGAATGACCGGGGCCCGCTGAATGAATAAAACTGAAAAAAAATCGAAAAATTCAAATATGATAAATCATGGAATAAAATTATTAAATGGAAAAAGGGATTTTGTGCCTTTCTTTAATATTAAAAAATTTATGATCCTTGAAAAACATAAAGTGCTAGCGATTTTTTATGTTCCAAAATCGTACGTCTGCTGGAGTCGATTGTTGAAACATTTGGCAGCTTATTTTTGCTGATCTTAAGACATCCCTTGAGGCTATTGAAATATTGAGCCCAGCCTACTCAGCCCTTTGGTAAATCCGGCCCTGTGTCCAGGTGGGCCTTACAGATTAATCATTAACCTCGAATATTTGATTGCGGGCTCTGGTATTATAGTTTCTGATTCAATACTGAGTCTTATTGTTTCTACGGGTCCTTATTCTACTTATAAATAGGTACTGCCTCTGTTTTGTGATTAGCGAGTTCTTGCCATACCTTCACTCTCTCTATAAACTCGCTGGCTTTCCTTTCAATATCATGTTTGATTGTGTTGGGAATGTTAATCCCACTGTTTTTTAGGACCCGAAAATTCCGGGATTCTTGGTAAATAATCCCGGGATTTTCGGGATTTGTAATTTGAACTGATGGCAATAATAGAAACTCTTTTCTTGACCAGTATTAGCTATATACCTATATTTCTTTTTTTTAATAATTAACATTTTTTTATAAATGTCTAGCTTATTATATGTACATACATATAACAGCGTGGGAAAGCAAATTTTACACAAAAAAATCAATATATTTGCGAAACCATGGGCCAAATATGGTAAAATTGCGTTTTTTGTTTTTCACTCTGACGTCAGTAATTCAAAAATGATTTTAAAAATTTAGCAAAATGTGCTTAGAGAAGAAGTATGGGTTTCAAATTAAAGAGTAAAGTCTGTAAAATTTAATCAGATTCAAGTTTTTGGTGCAAAGGGTCTGGTAAGTATTGAAAATGTCCTTCTAAAATCTTGTCCTTAAAATTTCTCAATATTTGTTTTCGAAAAAATTATATGTTAAGGACTTATATAAACTCGATAACATCCTCGAATTTCGTTCTTCTAACTTTATCAGCTTAAAAAATTACCTATTCGTCCTTGTGAATCCAAACAGTTAAAATTTTTTTTTATTCTAAAAAATTACCTCATTTCATTCGGTACCCATATTTTTTATCTACATTGCAATCAATTTTTTGAATATTTTTTTTGGAATGAAAGGAATTTAAAATTACAAAGTCCTTTAAAATAAATCCTGACTTTAAATAAAAAAGTAGATTTCAAACCCATTTATTTATTACTTATTTTATGGTAGGAGAGATAGAAGCAATTTTTTCTATTTAAGTTGTTGAAAAGTAATGAATACCTAAATCCCGGGACTAATCCCGGGATACCGGGATCGCGATACATACATCCCGAAAATCCCGGGATCATAAAAAGCGAAAAAATTAACAACCCTAGTATGTATGTATATGCTTCGCTACTATTACTACAGCGATATCGTCTGCGAACTCCATTCCTTTTGCTCGAGGAGGCATATCGCTAAGCCCCTGTATATGTTTGTTTGTTTGCATACTTTAACAAATAAATTATTACATCCTGAGGCCATTCATTTACTTACCCCCAAATAAATGTATGAACGAAATTAACTGAAATTTATACAACCAAATTGAATTTGCACTTCCAAGCTCCGAACAGACTCATCCCGATTCCCCAGAGAATCAAACAATGCCACAGAAAAATATATGTACGTATGTACATACATACATATACCTACTTCCACAATAAACAGCAACAAATAAGCAACAACAAAATTCATGAAACAACAGCAAAAACTTGCAAAAGCGATGGCCGCTTGTGGCAGCTGAGGCGATTAAGGCGGAGCATAAACACGTGCGAGCGAACAGCAAACAACAAAAAAAAAACGCTTGCACACGCATACAAATGCATTTGGCCTTAAGCGCGTTCAAAGTCAAGAAGTATGAGCTGCTAACGCAGCTGTCAAAAGAGTGAGCGAGAAAACTAGCTTGCGCTTGTGTTGGCAAAAAGTATCTACACGCATACAGCGACGAGTAGATAAATCACTACAAATATAAAGAGGGGTATATTGTATGTGTGGGAAAAATATTAAAAAATAAATAAAGTGATTCTGCAAAGAGCTGGGCGGTGTTGCAACAAAGAGCTCGCAAGCGCTTGGCCGATGGGACAGCTTCTGAGCTTTGCCAGCGTTTTAGTTTATGCGGAAGCGTATTTTAAGTACTAGGCGGCGGTACTTTTTCATCTTTGCGCGCAAATCGATACGAAGATGCATACATATGTACTTACTTACAAAACACAGCTACTACGTATTTACATACATACATATACGGTATAAAGAGATTTTAACACTGATCGATGGATTATCGAATCGCGATTTATTTCTGTTCTTTGCTGTGTTAGTTGGTTGCGCTCGGAAAGATTTGTATGCATATATTTTCGGAATCGGGGTGGCATTGGTCGTCGGTGTGATGCAAAACAGCACGCGACAAATGCAATAATAACAAAAAAAGAGGCATAAAAAGTGTGTGTGTGTGTGTGTGTGTATATGTGGTGGCCGGGTTTTGGCGTGAAAGCAAGCAAACAGACATACATACGCATATCGAATTACAGCTTGAGTGTTGTTTCGGCTTGGCGCTACCCCCCTTTCCTGCAACAGCCGGACGAACAATCACTTGAGAGTTCTCCATTTTTGTTTTTTTCTCATTGTTTTTGTGTTTCCGCCAAATGCAGCAGCTGCAGCCGCCACACACACGCAACGAATGCAAGCCACGTACGTGCATACGTCTCTGTTGAATTTGTATTGATGTGCGGCAAACACTGATTTACTACCACATAGATATGTAGATACATATTGTTGTAGTAGGAAGCTTATACATGCGCGAACTTAAAGTTGCATGCATATTTACATACATACATACATACATATCTATACACAAAAGCATGTATGTAGGTATACGCGTCCGCATGCCTTCGGAGGCCATTCAGTTTTATCTGGCGAGTCAGTAAATATTCGTGAGATTTACAATACGCTCACAAAATATTGACTAGCTAGCTTTTAGCATGGCGGCAGTATTTCGTTGACGTACATTAGCGTGAAATCGCGGCACGCTTTGTTTGTTGCACATTCCGTTGCATTGTCAACGCTACAAATGCCGTTGTGTTGGACGCGCGCGCAAAGTGCACAGAAAAGTATCTAAAAACGTGCGATATTTGAACGCGGCGCAGATAAAGCTTTGTGTAGGACACTTAACTTTTTTTCCGTATATTTGTTTTGTTTAGTTTGAGAAGAGTACTACGTACCGCCCAATTGTTTTCGGTTCATTGTGTCAAATAGCGTTGAGAAAGAAAAGAAAAAAAATCGTAAAAAAAAATTACAAAAACAAGCCAACGGAACAAACGCAGTGACGCGTCACAACAAAGGCTGCCGCCAACAAACAACAAGTAGGTATAGTTAAAGGCATACAGCGCTGCGCTTACATTGAAACAGTAGCTGAAGAATTATTGTTATTGCCACATCACATCCGCCGCCGCCGCCGCCGCCGCCGACCATTGTTATTGACAACGCGCAACTAGCGCGCTACGTTGGGTTTGGCACAAAAGCAATCGCCGGCATAGCTACGGCCACAGCCACCATCGCATACAGTGAAACCTCTCCTAACGGACACCTTTATTAGACGGACATCTCCCTTGGACGGACATTTTTTCCTATACCAAGTTTTAAGTATAAATTTCGGAACAAATTACTCTCTCTTAAGCGGACACTCTCTTGGCCGGACGCGGACAGTTATTTTGCATAAAATTGACACAAAAAACTCTATTGAGCGGACGCGAACCTCTTATCAACGGACATTAAGATTTCTTTTCATAACAAATCAAACAAAAACCCCCGTTGAGCGAGCGCGAACTCCTCATAGGCGGACTACTAAATGGAAAAGGGGGACTTCCCGCATAAAATGTGATTTTTATGCACACATTTAGTTTGGTTTGCGCAGTGGTTTAGGATCGTTATTTGAATTATCAGAAACCCTTGGAGAATCCAAATAGTAATAAATGCATGGACCGAAAATTTAGATTTCTGGTTGGATTTTGTTACTGATAAAAACATGAAAACTATTGATGAAAAAGGTACTGACACTGAAAAAAATTAGAAATAAAACTTACGTCAATCGACAATTTCCCAGTTTTTTATGTAATGAATCTATGGTTGTATGTAGTTTATGGACTGAAATGTAATATTTATTTTTATTTTGTTATTACTTAATATGTACTTATGCACATAAATGAAATATGCACTTTTGAAAAAATACCTGCACATTTTTGTTCAAATGAGAAAAAAGTGACTATTCAATTAATTAAAACATTAAAAAGTTCTAAAATAAGCTTCCCTCCCATTGAGCGGACACCTCTCTTGGGCGGACAAAAAATGACTGACGGTGAGTGTCCGCCCAAGGGAGGTTTCACTGTATATATTACGCAACCGCCTTCCTGCTGCTTAGTGCGTCACCACCTCTAATTAACTGAAAATCGCCTCCTGAAATATTCCTTCGGTCTTTTCGATTTTGATTTTTTTTCTTCTGCTTTTTTCTTGTTACACGCCGTCGCATAATTTCAATTGCATTGTTCTCTGCTGTGCTCTGCCATACGTCGCTGCCGCCGCAGACATTGAGTCGCCATTGAAAATTTGTTGCTTTCATCGCTGACTGTTAACCAACCGCTCGCCATTAGTCGCCATTGTTGCTGGTCGGCCCTAGTTTAAGTAGCATATTTCATCATCCGTTGCCAACGCCGCCGCCGCCGCCGTCGCCATAGCAACTATGTTGGTACCGCCGGATATGCTGGCTGCGCAGACGCGCATGATTTATCAGATGAATCGCTATTGCGCGGAGCGTGTTCAGGCGCGTATGTTCAAAACTGCCACGGCCATACGGGAAATATGCAAAATCGTTCAAGACGTTTTGAAAGAGGTGGAATTGCAGGAGCCGCGCTTCATCTCCAGTCTGGTGGAGTGTAATGGCAGGTAAATATTCGTATTAAATTTATTATACGGCACGTTTGTGAAAGAGAAATTTACATACAAATGTTTTATTTTAGTGTAAATTCATGATTTTATATTGGATGTAGTCCACAGCTATTTTCTTAGAACAACTAGAAATATATAGTATTGACAAGTTTTGAGGATTTATTTTGCTATTATTAAATTTTAATAATTTTTTAACATAAACATGGTTCATTCTATAACAAACACCATATAAATCCAAGTACCAAACTTTGTACAAAAATTAAAAAAAAAATTAACAAAGTTTCAGTTTTGTTCAGAACTTTGTAGAAAATTTCAGGGTTTGCAACTTTACAGTCCACTTAACTCTATTGTAATTAAGTGGAATTATAAAGTAACTACAAATGCCGTTGATTTCTAGTAATTTTTATTGTTGACGGTGTTGTGAATTTTATTTTCCAAAACATAAAAAAATTTCGAACATACATACAATTAAAAATTTGTCCAAAATCCAAGCTATTTTTTAGCCTCTTAAAACTGCCACTCTTTTTATACATGCTAGATTTGAATGGGCTATAAAACTGCGTACACAAACATTTTATGAAAAGTCTGAATAAAAAGTGTGAAATTTTAATGGAACTTTGTTGAATATTTGCACAAAGTTTTAAACTTCGAATTGTATGGTTCTGTCATAAGTAGAATGAACTACATATATTTTTATTAAAAGTAACTAAAATTTAAATAACACAAAAAATTATACTCAAAACTTTTCAATACGTGGGTGTTTTATAGTCTTGATACGCACATGTATCTTTAGTTTTCACAGGTTTCGTTATTATTATTTTTTATTCAAAATGAAATTATTAAAATTTTATAACCATTGAATTCAATCAGAGGTTCCTAAACTTTCTTCCTCGTGAACCATTTTCAAAATTTGTATGCTATCGAAAAGCTAAATTAAGAAGACCCATATGCCGGCCTAACTGAAAAAAATTTCAAGCCCGTGGACCAAAAAAAATCAAAAAATTAGCAAAATTTTTTTTTCGCGCTATCTGTCAGGATTACATGAAAAGTCTGAAAATTAACGCTTCAAAATGTTTTTTTTTTTTTAAGTCTCAATACGACCGTTTTTCACCGAAATACAGCCCGTCAAAAATAACCGAAAGCTTTGGATTTTCTTCTGCTCCCTTTATTTTTTTGGGTGGCGTATTATCTGCCTACATTAGTAAATAAATCCATGCCAACATGTTTTTTCTCTACTATCGAAACCAGATAAATTTTCGTGGACTCCCACTTAAAAGTCGTGAACCCCTAAACTATAGAATGCAGGGCAGCTAAGTAGGAAGTGCTGAGGTAATTCCACCTCGTCTTCTACATAGCTTTGACAGATCCGTGGGATCCGTGACGATATTAAGTCGCACCGCGTGGGTCACTAAAGGACAATCTCCGGTCAGTATACCTGTAAGAATTGAGAGCTGGCGCTTATCCAGTTGCATAAGCTCCCTTTGACCGTCTGCGGTCAACAACCGGCCAGAAGGACCGTATAACTTTGCATATCGGGGCTTTCGCTCAGTGCCCGATGAGGCGACCGTGAGCCCAAAAGCCAATTCATCAGCTCTGCAAGTTTCAGTGATGCCACTGTGTCCTAGAACCCAAATAAGCTTGATTTGAAAGCATTAGTAGGCAGTTGAGAGAGAGGTGTTCAGGCATTCTCCAACCAGTTTCGATCGTACCATTAGCGATCTCAGAGGTCGGATCGGCTATCAGAGAAGATACTTACCCTCCTAGTCGGCAAAATATTAGCGCGTTGTCAGTCGGCTGCCTCTTTTACAGCGGCTACTTCTGCCTAAAAGACGCTGCAGAGATCCGTCTGACTGGATATTAGATCTGTTGAGAGTTCCTGACAGTAGGCACCTTCTCCAACTCTACCGTCCAGCTTCGATACGTCCGTGAAGACCTTAATTGGACCTTTTATTAAGAGATTGCCGTCCACCCCTTCGCGCCTTGGGGGGATGTGCATGGAGAGGGATGTTTGATACAATTTATGCAAGAAACATAACTTGTCGGTAGAGGAAATCTGAGACGTTTGTTATTAGCGTAAAAATGTTTAATAAAAAATGTATTAAAAAATGAACAAGTATATATACCTTGGCTGCCCCCTACAACAGACTATAAATAGCCTAGAAAAACAAACTCAGGCGATTTCTATACCTTAAGCAGAATGTATCGGCGGAGCTCCATTCATCTTCAGCTTCTCTATATTCCCGGTGTCCATCATAACGCCTTCCTGAGACGGGTACATACACTTTATTTTACTGTGAACGGTGAAAAATATTAAATATTATGTTACACTCATACGAAAATTTAATATTCGCCATGAGATATCAGATGGATACCAATCTATGCCTACTAAAACGAACAACTATTGCCATTTTTATTACTCGTATTAAGAAAACGAAAGGAAGGTTTACGAGAACCATGGAGGGTGTGAAAAGTAATGCCGCTTGGATTGGGCATAAATATTTTACAAAAACAAATACACAATATTTCTTATGTTAATACATGAAAGAAGAATAGTATCGAGTGCTTTTACTTGTACTCGTTTGCACGGAACGGTTGATCGACAACTCAGGCGGAAAATAGTCACTTATTATTGAAGACACAGAAGCCATTAAGCGCCTACAGACAGCTCTTGAGGTATACCCGCTTATCAGACGGTCGGTCTGGTTGCTTGTCTACACTCTAAAAAGTGCATGTAAAACTACTACTGAAAAATGTTTATTTTTCAACCAGAATCTGTTCAAGTATACGCACAAGATGTTCAAGATTTGGTTTTGAACATGAGTTGTTTAAAATATACACATGAAATGTTTAAAATTACAAACATTTTGAAAGTAAAAATATATTTTTTACAATTAATAAATACTAAGTGCCAGGGGCGCACGCAGGAATATATTTTTGGGGGGAAAGGGTTTATACTTCTAAATATATGTCATCAGCAAATACTGAAAATTCGCTCTTTAAAATACATTTATGAAAGTTTTATTTACAGTATGAAATAAATAAATAAACTTTTTAAGTATCATCAATTGCATTTTATTTACATAAAATTTACAAAGAACTCAGACTATTTAAAACCGGCTTCAAAAAAGGGGAGGTTATCAATTCTTCGGAGTATTTTTACTTCTTTTATTTATTCCACCGCATAACTTTGCACCACGTGAACC